GAAGCTATTATGTGATTATGTAAATCATGTAATAGCTTCTATTGAAGTTGAATTTTTCTGTAATAACAATTTCTGGCATAACTTTTTCCAACAGGCATTAAGGGTCAAAGATAAATTCATCTCTTAAAAAAATTATATTTCAATGCAGTTTAGTATTGAAAATTCTTTTAATATTTGCAGAAGTGTTGTATTTGAACTAAAATAAATTTTTTGTAAAATTAGTTTAAATGTATGATGTAATATAAAAGTTACTACAGTCTTTATAATCCCCTGGCCCTCCTCCTCCTCCTCCTGGTTACACTCCTCAAAAGTGAAATTGCAACATCACAAAGGAATGCATAGCCATATGCAGCAGTGGTGATATTCAGCGGGTTCACACAGGTTCGGCCGAACCCGTCGTTAACATTTTCAAAGTTTTCCGAACCTTGTTAAACACATGTAACATTTCTCAATGGTTTTGATTCTTTTAAAAAAATATATTAAAATATACGTATTATACTCTGTAACACTACTAAACTAGAGCCTTCCAATGCACCATTTGAGCGAAAAAAAATTAAGGAAAAATTTTCTGTTAGCGAACCCTTTGTTAAATATTTCGAATATCACCACTGTATATGCATATTGCAGGACTAGTAGATGTAAAGAGATATGAAAATTATTAAAAGAACAAATATATGCAACAGACACCTGTTTTATTCAGTAATGAATATGGCTCCTATGGGCAACTATACAGGCCTCTATACAGCAAGGCATACTATCAATGAGGTGATTAATGGTTGCCTGAGGTATCCATTGCCAAGTTGCATCCACTTGCAGTGCACATGTTGTCTATAGTATGTAGTGGTGGTTGCAGATGTACCTTACGTCAGATGAGGTCCCACATGTGTTCGATGGAAGAGAGATCCAGCGAGACTGCCAGCCAAGGAAGGAAGGGAAGAAGAGAAGAAGAACTGGTGAATTCTCACTAGCCATTTAAGCTGGTGAGAGTTCACCTTTCAACATGTGATCAGGCATTGTCTTGCTGGAACAGTGTTGGGTGTGGCCTGCACAAGTGGCCAAACCACAGGCTCAACAATTTGTGTGACATATGGGTCTGCTGTCAGAGTACTGAAAATATGCACCAGGGCTTTCTGCTGATTGAACATGATGTCTGGTGTGGGCCAGTGTGATGCTCACTGAAAATGACTGGCACATAGCATTCCTGGGTTGCTGCCACACCCATCCATGGCAGTCATTTTTCCACAGATAGAAGTGGGATTCATCTATAAACAATACCAGATGCCATTCAGTGATGATGTGACAACACCAATCCAGGCATGCAAACCTGTACTGAGCATTTAATGGCACTCCCATTTGCTGGTTACTGTGCATACAGCCTGACTGCAAGCAACCTGTTGCAGGTGGTTTGGGTGGACACAGATGCACATTTTGATGACGACAGATAGCTTCGGATGTCACATGCCATGGTGGATGGCTTCAAACAGGCTGTTCAGTGAATCTGCTAATCTATGCTCTCTGTCATGCACTAGTGCAATCCATTCCTTCATTATATGTTCACAGATGTTTCTACATCCAATGTTTCACACATTGCTGAATGGTATTCATGTCATGCCCAACACACATGGCAACTTCACACATTGACAAACTAAGATCACACAACTCCAGGAAACAGTCTCATTCCCTAGCTTTTAACTGGTGGTATTCAGCTCACTGTCGCTTCCAAGACATTTTCTACACTTCTTTGAAAGTTCAGTTGCTATGAACCATTGCTGGTAGCATTTATGGTCCAATCAGGCTACTGGACTTCATAGCCCAAAACTGGGTACCACATGACCTGATACTTATGCAAACTTAATAATTTGCATATCTCTGTCACCTTTACCGATCCTGCAATTTTCATGTGGCTACACACTTTCCTACTTGGTGTTGAAGAGCCTGTTTTCAAAGTGATGTATCTCCATTGTTTTGTGGCTGTAAGCCTTGTGTTTTTTATATTATTCTGTATAGTGTCATTTAATTCATATTCTATTTCTGTAAAATTATCCTTCTTTCCAATTTTCTTTGTCTCGGACTCACCCCTAGCCCACCAGGAGGTAGGGGAAAAACAACAGATGACAAAGAGGCTAGAGGGGAAAAGAAACATTCCAGTACGGATTTTGGGCCAGGCTCAAACAGGTATGGACGTGCGGCATCAGGCTCGTGGATTGGAGACTGGCGAGCGCTGCAGAAGAGGGCCTTAAACAGATTGTGAGGAGAATCTGATCAACAGATCTGGAGGCAAACCCTCAAAAAAATTAAAAGGAGAAGCCCATTGTCAAAAGGAGAACATACAAGCTTGGGAAGCAAAGTAATTGTGGAGAATCATCGACAGAATTTTGGGTACCCACATACACAGAACCAATTTACGGTGTGGTATGACGAAAAATAACGAAAAACAAACGTTTTCAAACCCCTTCTGGGCTCTTCATCAGGTTCGTACAGTTTTAGCTCGTAAATTTAGTTACCGACTTTACTCAGGCCAATCTCCTCCTAGGTGCGCCTCCCAATGATCGTCTCAAATGGTTAGAGGCGATGCACATCTTTAAAGTCTCTATCGAAACTACGTGCATAAATTTTAAAGAGGAGATGCTTTTGTCTATGGCCTGGCAAGAGTTGATTCACAACATGATTTAGCCGCCCGTTATATCCGAGTAGGCAGTATAATTTTAAAAGAACGATTCGAACTCAAGATCGAACTTATTTGAACAACATTCATTATTCGAATTTACGCGCTAAAACTGTAGGAACCTGATGAAGAGCCCAGAAGGGGTTCGAAAACGTTTGTTTTTCATTATTTTTCGTTGTACCACACCGTAAATTGGTTCTGTGTATGTGATTATTATTGAGGTGTGGTGAATAGTTTGTTTTGGGTACCCATCTGTCCTGTGACCCTTCTCATTTCTCTTTTCTTCCTATCCTCTCTCTATTAATTTTAAGGTAGATTAAGATTCACACACATTAGATAAGTGTAATTGTCGGGCGATAGTTATAGCAAGTGTAACTACCGGAATATTGTTACATCGAATCACCGAGGAAACTTGTAAGAGGAACAGCAGGAATCCGTAAAGAATCTGTACATATCTATTTTATTGCAAAATTAAACTTTTTTAATTGGTTAACATGTGTATGTGTTTTTCCTCTCGCATTGTACATTTTACAGTTTAATTTTTTTTAGTTCATGGCACCAACACATTGATAATATGCTTCTCTACAGTGCTACGATATTTTTTTTTTTTCTGAAACGGGTGTTTCTTCTATTTAAAAATTGAAAGGAAAACCAATTTTTTGATACATGTGATGTTTTTCATCTTGTATTTATTCCAAACTTGCATTTTCATAACAGCTAATTACAAAGTGTATATTGGTCACATGACTGTTTCACAGTGTTGACCGCTTTCTGAAGTGCAAATGCTATTGGGTTTAATTGTTTTCTTAATTTTTCTTTTTTAACTTCTTCAGAAGGCCATTATTAAAGTATTTAATTGATATGTTAGAAAGAGATTGCATCCTTATTTTGTAGAAGTTTATGTAAGGAAAACTCAAAAATCAAGAAAATTAATTTGTTTTGTGATGGATGCAGTGCACAAAACAAAAATTATACATTATTAATAATGCTAAGTAAACTTTCAGATATTTGTAGGATAATTTTTGAGATTACATATCCAGTGCAGGGTCACAGTTATTCAACCATAGATAGGGCCTTTGAAAGGGTGAAAAAATGTTAAATTGAACTGCTTTTTTTACCGGAAGACTGCAATAAAATTTTTGAGCATATAGGTTCTTGGTAAAGACTGGCAACTTGGTAATTGGAAACTTGCAATTCATTCCCACATTAATTCAAAAATGGATTTTAAAGAATGTAATCAGAGTAAACTCTAAGTATGTTTGTTGCAAACAGCACTATTCTGATTGATTGAGGGTGTGCAAACATACAATGTTAAAAAGAGGTAAAAAATGGTCCTATCTATTAGTTGATTTGTTATCATAGGAGAATAAACTTAAGCTGGAAAAGATAGATGATGTGAAGAAACTTTTAAATAAACTGGCAATAAGTGATGGGCATACATACTGCAAAGATATTTTACAAAAATGTTTTCTTTTTTCAAAAGTGATTAATTCTAAATAGGTACTGTGACAGAACAATTACATTGTGATTTTTATTATTTTTATGTAATCAATACGTTTTTTTTCTTTCTTTTGGAATTAGGATAGTTTTTTAAACACGGATTTTTTATTATCTTCAGTCATATGAACAAGTTTGTGTGATTTTCATTTTATAATCTCTTCAATTTCACTTTTGAGGACCATAGGTTGGGTGGTAGATAATTCACTTTAACATTAGGATGATTTAAATTCACAGAATGTTCCAGTGTGTTATTGATTAGCAATAAATCTTTATTTACAAAAAAACATATGTTTTTTTTATAACTGTTTTGTACAAGAAGTTGAAAATTAAATCAGTTTTGAAACATTTCACCTGTCATCAATCCTTATTGTGTGCAGAGTGAATAACAATAAAATCATATTTGAAACTATTGCACATCTCATTAACAATATGTGATCATTGCTGGAACTTGAGACAAGTTTAAAATTGCATAAAATCATCTGATGGTGCTTGTCTTATATAATGCAATTTTCTATAATGCTGAATGTATCCCACGTTGTATAGGAGTCCACTGTACTTTTGGAATGAAAATGATGCAAGGGACTTTTGACTCACTTTTTAATAACTTTATTATAAAGATGCACATACAATTTATTTGTTAAATTCTAAAACTTGAGTATTATGTTCATCAAAAAATAAAATAAACTTTTTGATCAACCCAATACATATGGAAATATTTTTTAGAAAACTTATTTTACCTTTAAATTGCAAATAATTAATAATTTAAATTTTATTTTCTGTATTAAGTAGTAATTTCCACTTGTTCATTAAAAAAATTTTATTTTTACTTTTTCAGGTAATCATCATTTCTCTGGTTATATTTGATTGCTTATTGGTCATTTCTGAATTGATGATAGATTTGGAAATTGTACCATTAGGTGATGAACATCATATTGCTCCACATGTAAGTTGTTGTTATATTATACAAAGCATTCATAAACTAACATACAAATTTGGTTAGATATAAAAAAAAATCCAGCAGTGAGTTGTGTAACTTTCCCAGATGTTATGAGATTTTATTTAAAAAATAAGTGTTTTTAATTACAATATAATAAATAAAATTGTTTGGGGGACCATCTGTTATAAGATTGTTATAAAAACTTTCTATATTTTTAATTATTATTGAATGGCAAAAAGCTTAATTTGGAGGGTATTGATCAGTTTCATAAAAAATTGTAAATGTACTAGCATTTACAATTTTTTAAATAACATAACGTCTTCATTAAGTCTGACCCCAACCCTCTTTATCTCATCTCCTTGACCTTTCACAATCAAAATTTAATAACATCAATGCCCCTTGTATACAAGATACTGTGCCAAATTTTGTTTCTTAATCTTTACCCCATCCTGAGATATTAAATGAAATAGATGTCAACACACACACATAATGGATTTTTTTTTTTTTACTTTTTTGGGGTTAGGTGGTCTCAAAACATGGAGATTTGCAAAAAACTTGGAGGGTCAAATTTGACACAATTCCAATACTTTTCCTTGTTATGTATACATGATAATTTTAGTTTCCTGGTTATTATGTACATGTCAAATGTTTCCCAATGGCGTTCTCTGTTATAAATTATCTATCACATACAATAGCACTTCTAGCATCTATTTTGATAAAAATTGCCAGGACAAATAAGTTTATCAAATGTATTTATTATGTTTTAATTGTGCCATTGCCAGAAGGAAAATTTTTTAAAAGTTTTACATATTGAGGCAGACAAGTAGCTTATACGAAAAGGTTGACTTGCCATGAAACTGTTAATTTCCTTGTGCATGCAAAAGGACAGACAATACAGTGTCTTCTAACTATTTAAAAAATTTTGTAAGCCTTCTATCCTTCAGCCAAATTTGTAAAAAAGGAGTTTCTCATAGTTCACATCTGAAACAGAAAATGCTTTGAACAGGTCAACTACAAGATAACTTATTTGACTTAGTAAAACCAAATATAATTAGCAATTATAATAGTGTAATGTTTGGCAGTGATTGATTAGATCAATGTTTTATTATTATTCAGTACTAAGAAAAACCATTAGAAGAGCTAAATAAGTTGCATTACATATTTTGAAAATAATTATACATAATGCATGCATCTTTTTTCCATCAAGTAACTGGTTCAACCATAAAAAATTGAAATATAGAAGGAAAAGATCATTGGCTGCTTGATGGCGATAAATGTCTCTTTGCAGTGTTTGTCATTTTATCTTCAGTCCTAATTCATTATTTAGAGGTCATATTACACATTGAAAAATAAACATATACTTGATATGAATTGCCAGAGCATAATGAAAGATAAAATTCTATAAAAATGCTACTATGTTTAGTGTACCAAGATAAGCCAACTCTTTGTAAGGAAAAGTGTTTCCACAAAATTTCACTAATAAAGTATATTCTTCAAGCATGTTGAGAATTTTCCTGAAGAAATAGCTTCAAGAGCGGTCTTATCAAAAGCACCTTTAATATCAAGAATGTCAAGAAAACTATTGGCTGTTTTTCAAGACTTATCTCAATTTGGAAAATCAAATTTATGTAAAGCAGTCTCCTAACATTTGCTAACAAAGTTGTTTGTTTTAAAAAATTTTTTTCTTGTTGTTTTAAACATATTTTGAACAGAGCAGAATTAAGCTAATTTTGGTGAATATGCCTGTATAACAAAAGTATCAGAACCCAGTATACTAAATCATATGTCTGTATCTTTATTACATAGAAAATACACATGTCTTGATTTTTTGTAGTGTTTAAATATCATAAATTAAATGACAAACACAGTTTAAATATTTCACACAAACATGTTTCATTAAAAACTTAATAAAAGTTGATGATGATTATTGATTAGACAATTTACAGTATTAATGAACACTTACAGTAAAATAGCAGAAATTAATATTTATGAATACAATTAGACTGCTAAAAAAAGTGTAAAAAACTTTTAATGATCAATGGTTCTTAAAAATAAATTTCCAAAAATGATCTACAGATTTAAACATTTAAATCCAAAATTTTAAGTTGGTATTTCATATAGGGAACAAACAGATACAGAGGAGAAAAATTTTTATGATTATGTAAATTATTAACTTTTTTGATAAACAACATAAAACAATAACTTTATTTTTTTCCGTCCGATCTACCCAAGTGATATTTATGGAAAGGTACTGTATACATATCACTTATTAGGGAATGTTGGGAGATATCATAAAGGGATCTCCATACATATGATAATGAGTCTGCATCTTTGTGATTGATGCACTCTTCTCTCATAGTAACCTTAAAAGTTTCAAGAAGCTCCATAGATCTAACTTGGTAAGTGTTATCTATGATGTGCATCATCTCTGACTCCACAAAGTTAATATCTATCTCTGTTTCAGAGGCATAAGCTATACTGTATATCTGTGTTGCTTTATATTTAAAGAATGATTAGAATATATACTATAGGTTTCACCAAACTATGATCAGTGATTGAGATTCAATAGATACCTGGAGCCTGATGGGTACTTATACAATCCTTATTACACAGGAGTTTAAAGATGGATGGGTTACAACAGTATCCAATAATAAAGGTGCCTGAGCATCTTGTGATTTCATTAAGCATACTCCAAGTGCGATATTATAAATCAATGATTTAACTGGGCGAAAACCCACCACACAGTTGTTCATCTATATTAGATATCCTGATTATTTGGAAGACTAAACCTATCTACAGTAGTTTGCAAAGGCCTACTGAAAAGGAGGACAGACATAAAAAACTGGCACACTTAAACTGAAACTATACACTTAACCAACAACTTGACACCTAGATGTGAATTCCAGCATATAATGAACAAATAAAATTTAATGTTCAAACGTTTTTGGCTGTCTTTCAGAGGCCCTCATCAGGAATGAATGCACAAAACACAAAAAAGCAGTTCTATTTTTTGAAAATTTCAAACTTTCAAACTTTTATTTGTTCATTATATGCTGGAATTTGCATTTAGGTGCCAAGTTGTTGTTTTGAAAAGGAGTTTGCAGTTAGGATGTCCCAATAGGGACATCCTAACTGCAAAAAGGTCATCATTCTGTATATAAAGAATGAGGAGTTACATAATAAATGTGTAAGCTCTGAAACCTGTTACTGAGGTATTGAACAATGAGGAACCCCTCTTCATTACAGCTAGATATCCTAATATTGTAACTACAGTATCTGAGTCTGTTACAGTAAACTTATAACTTCTTAAGAGTGCAGATAGCCTTTTCCAAGAGATTCATTGGAGACCTACATTTGTTGACTATGGGCCTGAGCTGCATGCCTGATTTATTTGTCTTTGCAAAAGCAATGAGCCTAGGGGTGTTGGATAAAGCAGTTGCAAAGTCTTCCAAGTGCAATATCTTAGATTTATTCAAACTAATCTTGCTAACACCCATTGTTATAGTGTGTCCACAAAAATTTCACTTATCACTGAACATTCCATGGAGGAGATTAATTGTCCAGAGCAACACAGTATGTGAATCTTTTCACCAACACCAAGAACAATTCTTATTTGCCTTCAACAGGATGACATCATTATTTCTGAGCCATCATATACTTGGCCCAAAACATTATACCATATTACAGTGTCCTCAATTCTAGGAGCCATGTTTTGTATCTTTAATATGGTCTTCTACTGAAATTATTCCTTGTGAATGTCAGTTAAGTGTTTAAAGATCAAGAAAGGATCTTCTTTGCAGCTTTGTAGCAAGAGATGCAAACAAAATACTCTTGACTGTTTCCATCAAGGATACAGGTGGAGAAAAGGTCATTCCATATGTGGGCATTGTCTTAAATATGTCTTGACACAGAAAAATCCATCTTAACTTTTTAACATGCTTACTAAGTAGCTCCCAGACATGCTTTCTTCCAAGCCAATAACCCTTTTATTAGCTTCCTCTAATACATGGGAATCTTTTTGATATGATCATTTTCAAAACAAATTAGTTCATGTAGTATGGTGTAAATACATCATGCACAAAACCATCATCATCAGTAGGTAAAGAAAAATTTAACATTTTCATCTATATGAAATAGACATCGTCGAGTACAATGTAGAACAAAATGGCTAACAAAAATCAAATGCTTTTTCGTTAGCGGTTCTATATCATTTGTACTCGATGATGTCTATTTCATATAGATGAAAACGTTAAATTTTTTTATTCATACTGCTGGTGTATTTTCTGTATCCAAATGAGCTTTCTGAGGCATAATGATCTTAACTTGGGAAGCAAGGACTTTTTTCCTCTGGATGAATATGGAAAATGGATGTAGGGAACAGCCTGTTTATGCATTCCATCAGAAAGTCCAATTTGGTATGATTCTAGTTTGGATAATATCAATTTCCTATGGGTTTATGTTTATGTTTATGGCCATGCTTACTAAACTAATACAACTGGAATATAAGATAACAATTTTACACCATACCACCCCACCTTTTCACTGAGAAAAACGTTACATGGGGTATTTAAGGAAAAGTGTAGGAAGCCTTGTATATGTTAGGCTCAATAAGCATTTTCAATTTAAAGAGACCAGTTTTTTATTTAGAGACCACAACATTCAGAATGTGTTATGGCTTTTCTTAATTAATCACCACAATGCATAGTGGTCAAATATCACGAAAGCCACAATGCAAATTTTGCTTTGTGGTCTTTTTGAGTTAGTCGTAACGTGTTGTGACTGTTTTTGCAAGTGCCATGATGTGAATTTCACATTGTGGATGATTGTGTTATGTTTTATTTAGAGACCACAATCATCCACAATGTGAAATTCACATCATGGCACTTGTAAAAACAGTCACAACATGTTATGACTAACTCAAAAAGACCACAAAACAAAATTCACGTCATGGCTTTCATGATATTTGACCACTATGCATTGTGGTGATTGTGTTTGTTCCGTCAGATGTTCATTATCCAAACATGTTTTTGTTGTCCAAACATAAAAATCTTTTGCAAAAGTGTTCATTGTCCGATTTGTTTGCAGTTCGAACTATTCGTTAACCGATCACCCACTATATTTGTCTTAACTGGCAGCAAACATGTATAAACTTGAGTTATTCTCTGTCAGATTTAGCTACATAAACATTCATTAATCTTAAATATCAAAGAACATTTTGAGATAAATTCTAATCTTTTTGTAAATTTTCGTCTAATGGAGATTATTATTATTAATTAAAGACAATGGAAAAGCAAGACGTGAAGAATGGAAAGCAAGACGTCTGTGTAACACCAGTTCCTTTTTTAAAAAGCTTTTTTAATTGGATGTAATTGTGTTTTTTAAAGGACTGTTTTTAAAATTCTGGCGGCATGTAGCCTATAAAGGAAGGTCTGTCGCCGTGAATGTGAAGTCTGGAACACGAAAAATAAATGGTGGCCCCTTTTTGGGCAGACTGTCTTTAATTAATAATAAATTCTAATGCTAATTAGCAACTATTTTAATTTTAAACTAAAATATTTGTAAAATTTATATATAATTCTCTAAAAATTATCTGAAAAAGTGGCAGAAAAATATATTAAATTCTTGAATTTTATTCTAGGTACTGCATTATATGAGTATTTTTATATTAAGTCTCTTCATTATTGAGATATCTGCAAAAATCTATGCATTCCGTAAAGAATTTTTTCTTCACAAACTGGAAGTATTTGATGCCATTGTTGTCGTTTTGTCCTTTAGTTTGGATATTGCATTCAGAAATTCCAGCGGAGCAATCAACGGCTCGGGTTTAATTATTATTTTAAGATTATGGAGAGTAGCCAGGATTTTAAATGGTAAGTATAGTTTACTAATGCATTTATTAGTTGTTATTTGAAAACAATCCTTAGTGGATATATGTATCATTCAGGAATAGTGCTGTCAGTAAAGACACAGGCTGAGCACAAATTATCCAAAGAGATTCAATTGCGAGAAGCCGTAGAACAAGAGCTGGCGAAGTGTCGCAACTACTGTGCAGCTCTAGAGCAGGAAGTAGAGTCACTCCGCTCGGTCTTGAAAATGAATAATATAAAAGAACTGCCACCGACTGTAATTAACAAGCCAGTTTTGCAACACAATACTGTTAATGTTGTTGCAGAAGTCAACAATGCCACTGTACATTATTCAAACATAATGTAAATTTTGTTTACACAATTGTTCAGATAAGGAAAGTAATTAGAATATAATAATGAAATATATTTTTATATCAATTTTGAGAAACACTCATGATAAAAAGTTATGTAAATTACTTTTTTAACTGCTTTGTGCATAATAAAATATGATTGAAAGATTAACATATACTAATTAAAAAATTCATAAAAGAAAAGAAATATTACAATGGTCCAATCATATTTATCACAATTTGTGGTAATAATGAGTGTAACTAATATATTTTTTTATTGCACGTTGTTATACAAACCACAAGTAATTTCATATTTTCTAGCAATTGTCATAAATTATATAAATATTGACAAAATTTATTGTTTATTAATTATAAAAAGCAATAATAAAAATATATATACTGTAGGTCTACATTAAAAGAAGTGATGTTTACCTGATTGTAAAATAAACATTCATAGCTATAGAAAAAGTTAATGATGTCTTACATTATAATTTTTATATTGTGATATTAAAAATCACAGTATTTTATTCTAGTATTGTACATATTATATATATATATAAAATTTTAGATTGTATCATTGATTTATGGTTATGCTGATTTTGAATATTTTAAAAAAAAACTTTTTTAGAAACAAAAGAAAAAAGGGTTATGTAATGAAATTTCTTTTCCAAACATTTCATTATTGTTTAAACAATTTTTTTTATAATAACTGCAACTTGAAACTAGTATTAATATAAAATTTATATTATACAAATAGCTGTTTTAAAGCAAATAATTTCAGAAATGTTTCAATTTGTGCAATACAGATGAAAAATGTACATAAAACAAAATGAAATTTTTGGAAATTAAATATTTTGAAACTGACAGTGATAAGAATCAAAGAATATTAGATAAATAATTCAATGTATTTCTTCAAATAACAAATATTGTATGCAGTAAATGTTAAAAAAGAAATTATGACTTGTTTTAACATTTTGCTAATAATATGCAGTCATTTGTCATACATATTGTCTTCAATTTTAGTTGTAATTTCTTTAATAGTTCCTTCTCAAAAATTGAGCAGAAAATCATAATTGAAAATTCATGTCTATTACCATTTGTGAATCAATTTTATATCTATTTAATATTTAAGTTGTGCATGAGAACAGCTGATCCAATTTCTATGAAACTTTGTATATAAATTCAGGATAGTCTGGATAAGGATATAGACTACTTTTTATTTCCAAAATTTTGGTGTTTTTATAAACTTTAGAATTATGTTATTGTTTGTAAGAGTAAATATAGTTTATACCTGGTTCTTATCAAGCCTTTCACATGAATAGGAAGTTTTGCCCAGAGGTTGGTGAATGTGTAGTGAATCATGAAATTCAAATGTAATAGGCTAATGTTGTGGACATGGACACTTTTGCCTGTTAATCAGTAAAGCTGGTCATTGCTATTTGAGCAAAATGCATACAGTATTAAATGTATTACCATTGCCATTTTCACCTGTGTCAGATTGTAAGAAATTTTAGGGACTCATTGACAATATATATAAAATCCTCTTAATTTTGAACTATCTGAGTTCAAATTAATGTTACTTTGTAACTATACTTTTGTCCTGGCCAGGGATATAGAGATTTGCATGTTGAGGAATTTGGTTAGTTCAAAATACGAATACTACAAAATTCAAAGTGAAAATTCTGTCCTAAATTATTGTGTGTGTGTGTAAACTAGTTTGTTTAGATCGAAGTGCCTCCATGCTATAAGAGAACAATAGACCAAGAACAACTCTAATCTGGCTTTGCTTTTACAGTAACACATTTTAAGTGTCACCTTACCCATGGGCTACTTTTTTTTTCCTCTCTCTTATCTCATAAAATACAGCTGGTTTTCGGGATTGCAAGATTGGGTACGAGTAGCAGATTGAGATATTTGTAGGGATCAAGGCTACTATATTTGGGCGACTTATACATTTTGGGCCATTTAAAAAAGTTTGGGCTATATTTCAAACATTTTATTAAAAAAAAAAGTAAGCAGAATTCTATCTGGCAACCTGTATGTTCTCACAACATGACATTTACCTGCAATTTATTTATTATTAATTAGTTTTGTACACATAGTCATATTTCATTTGCTTAATAAATTACATGGAATTTGTCATATTGTACAGAAATATGTAAATCTCGGAGAATTCAAAATTCAATAATTCGAAGTCAAGATTATTTCATCCCTTGAATTTTGAACTGACAAGGATTGCCTGTAATGTAAAATTGTTTTTGGTCAGATTTATTATGAGTATATATACTCATAATAAATCTGACCAAAAACAATTTTACATTACAGGACATTACATTGAGGTATGAGCATATATACTCATAACTCAAATATTTGAAAATGAAATTCTTGGAAACTATATATGAAATAATAGAATATAAAGTACTATTTATATGTTAGTGATGCTCATCTAACAATACTTGAAAAAATATCATAGGCCTAAGTATTACTGGTATTTGAATTCTTTTTTATATATATCTAAATCATTACAATTAAGAATCAATATTCAGTATTAATTAAACAGAACATTTGCCTGTTAACAAAACACATTATACATTATTGAACAATTATTTAAAATGTAAATTAAAAAATTTAATTATGAAAATCAGTTTTTATTTTTTATGTCTTATTTATTAATTAAAAGCCAAGGTATAATTAAATTAGTCCATAATTTAATTAAATATTTATGCCAAGCTCTAATTTAATTTTTCTAAAAATAAATATCTAATGGTACCTCATACTTTGAATGCTAAATTTGACAAAAATTTGCTTTAAAGTTCAAACTACATGTGCAGTGAAAAAAAATGTGTTCAAAATATATGTGCAATCTATTGTGTACCCAAGTCATCTCTTGCTTTTGGCATTACACCTGTATGTTTTCAATGCTTTTTTCATTTTGTGTTTGGTTATATGTATTGTGTTTTATTTGTAGATTTTTAACACTTTCTTCTTGCAATTTTTCTTCATTGACAGCTTTTGCAAGTTCCATATATTTTGTATCCTTTACTTTAAAATTTCCTGAACAAAATGTTTGAAATTTAGGAGCATTTCTCCCATACACATTACAAATGTTTTTACTATTTGTATGGTCTTATATCCCTTCCAAAACTCAAAAACATTTCAGGCACATTGATTCATGTCTGAAGACATTTCAACTTGATTTTGTTCAAACAAAATAGAAAGTAAAAAGTTTAAAATAAGCTTCTAAACAAAGAATACAATCTCACATTAGCAACAATAATTATAATTAAATTATGCATCTATGTTAAGTAACATCATGTGTTAAAAACGTGCAAAAACTTTGATCCAATATCACTTTTACTTCTTAACCATGGCATCCAAGAAGTGTTTGGAATCAACAAAGTCTAAGAGGAAGGTTGTAATATTGACAATTGAGGTGGAAAAGGAACTTATTGTGAACAGTGAAAGTGGTATACATATGGTGGATCTGGAGATCATGTTTACGATGCCGAAGTTGATGGTGTGTGGCCAGTAAATGTAATTTTCACTTTATTATACATTTTATACATATTTTTTTTCATGATTTAATTAATAATTAAGTTAAAAAATAACACAATTAAATTCCTTAAATTATGTGCATTTACTGTTTTAAGTTTATGGAAATGGGTAAAGATTAATTCATTTTCCATTATTTCTAATGGGAGAAAAAGATTTGGATTCTGAACAGCCTCCTAAAATGATTTAAATTTGGTGTATGAGGCACCACTGTACTTAGGATTTTCTGCTCAGTTCATTGAACTATTTTTCTAATATATAAATAATAGATTAATAGAAAAAATTTATTTAGGAATTTAAAAGCGAGCATTCTAAATAATTTCTTACCTTTTGTATAAAATTATTTTCTCTTTTTATACTTAGAATGATTTACACAAATCTGTAAATAATGTTATTCTGTGCATCATATTTAATATCAGCCTGTGTGTAAAACATTGTTAATATGCTATTAAAAAGAATTTATGAATAGTTTCATTGAAAATATTACTACATGTGCAAGATTTTTAGTACTGTTTTTAAAGTGTTACTTTTCATTTTTACTAAAATGCATCAATAAACAATAAATTAGTCTATTCTTTTTATATTAATGATTTAATAACTTTTTCTATAGTTATTAATTTACTATGATGACTTTTTAAAAAATATTTGTAATATACAATTGTTTGTGATAGATAAGTGCCATTTACTAGTCATGTGTAACTGTATAAAAGAATATGAATCAAAACAATCCAATATATTAGTCAATATTATGCTATAAAAATTGGATTAACAAAGATTTTCTTTAATATTTTATTTTGCTAAATATATTTGTATAGTATTTGTATAAAATATTGAAATTTTTAAAATTATTATTATTATTATTATAAAATCAAAAATAGTATATATAATCTGATTAGAAATAATATGAACATACAAATATCTAAGTGCTATTTTTGCTAATTCAAGTTTTTATAATCATATTTTGTAACTTTATATAACTGAAATATTTTTGATGATATTGAGCTACAAAGTTATTAATTGTTGAATCTAGTAATTATTAATAAAAAACTAATTTAATTATATAAACTTTTTTGTATTATTTAATATGTTTAAATATAATAATTTACACACTTCAATATTTCACTAGGGAAATTCTTTCCAATCACTACAAATAGTTTTTATTTTTATTTAATGGATGATATAAAAATAAACAAATTTGTAACATTAATTTTAACACATAATGGTAATTTTTAATTTAGATTTAATTACTTAATGTTTATTCCAATAATTTACATATTTTAGTAAAAAATGAAATATACAAAGTATATTTTGGACTGTTCACGACAACTTTACAATTATTTTATATAAAGTTTATATAGAATACAGGATTATTATTATAAAAATTACCATATGATCTTGTAAAAAAGTCAATTTTAATTAAAGAAAATATTAAAACCAGAAATCATTTTTTTAAAATTTTGTCTTATAAAAAAAAGTTTTCTGGTTTTAATAGTTGGCAAATTCTTTGAAAATATTGTCTAATGGAAAAAAAACTGAATGCTTATCATTATTATCTTTATCATAACATTTTGATGCCTGTTGTCTACTGATATTTAAAAAAACACTTAATAAATTTCCTTGATAACATTTTGCAGTCAGTAATTAGTTAAATCATTGATCTTCCCTCAGTGGAAAGATTGAAAAATATCAAATGCTGTCACATTTGCCCATTTCTATTAATACCCAGATTGCTTGATATAAAATAATTATTCTTGACAGTGAAAATTGAAAAAATTCTGAATTGTTAATAATTCATTATCTCCTGGACAATAAAAATGCATTAATCATTTTTCTGTTTTGTTAAGTATGTTTGATCTGAAGATAAGATCTGCATTATTCAAGACAGATGGGCAAATGGTAAAATGCTATTTATATTCAAAATTGAAAATTTGGACCATATTACAGAAAATTTTACTATTAAAAAGGAGCTGTCTATAAGTTTAATTTTTATTTTATAACTTTCTTATCAATTATCCAGCTCTCTACTTATTTTCTTACTTTGTTCAATTTACAATTGGTTATTGTAATAAGATTCCTACCACTAATCATAAAAATTTGATTTTATTAACATTTCTCTTCAGTCCCATCTTCATATACTTATATTTTAAAGATAATTGAATTTGAAAATCTTTTATATTAACAATCTTATTGTCAAATGATAGTTATAAAGAGTTTTAAAAAATCTTTTATGCATAGAAAATTAAAACAATTGGCAAATTTTATAATTAACATTTCTTCTTATTAATTGTTTTTTTTATCCTCTAACATTTATCTTTTATATAGAAATTCTGAATAAGAGAAAAAAGTAAGGTCTATCTATGTCATTGATATTGATAGTTTTTGGTTTTTAATGCATGCACTATGTAATAGTTTAGCAAGATAACAATTATTTGATTGATACATAATATCATTTACAAAGAAAGCTAAACAACGTATGTTTTTGATTTTTTTTTACTTGATAACATTAAAAATATTAAAAAAATTTTCTAATAATAATAATTAATAGATGTGACTTAATTGTAACTTGAGAGGAAATGGACTATAGCAGTTGTCATCAGATGGGCAGATGACTAATCAATTAATGACAATGATTCACTGAATACTAACTTTGTTGAGAAACATCTACATTTTAAAAACTTATAAATTAATTCATTCAATAAAGAAAATTTTCTACAAAAAAATCTAAAGTAAAACTTTTGCTTAAAATTTCAGTTTAATGTCACTTTTCATGTAACATACACAGTTAAGATGTGTATGTTTATACAATATTCTTACAAACTGACTTGCCATCATCATTCTTTTTTAGCATGAAAATGACAATATAAAATTTCAAGGATACATCTTGGCAAGTAGAGAGATTTTTTATTTTTAAATGTGAAAGTAGCAAGGAGACTAGAATATTTTTTGAATGGGAATAAATTGCCTTTTTTTTTACATCTAATTAAAAAGTTGGCAATTCAGACAGAATCTTTATATTAATTTTCATGGAATATTTTTTTTTTTTTACTAAATGGCTGATGGTTAATATATTTTTAATGTGTAAAATACCTTTTTTATCTAGGAACATATAGCTGCAAATGCCACTTGAAATTGCTATAGGTACAGGAAGAATAACAAAGAAATTTTTTATGGTAATAATTTAAGAAAAAAATGTCAAATTGATGAATATCATCTTTAAGTGTCTTTTGAACATAACCTCTTAAAAACAGACTGATGTTAAATTTGGCATAAAATAAACTGAATATCAATTACTGTATACACAAATATAAATATAAAATAAAACAAAATAATAGAATGTTCATTTGAAAAAATTTTGTAATAAAGATCAAAGATTTTAAATTGACTTGAACATAATAGGAAATGGAAAAAAAAAATTAGTACTTGACAGTATAAAAAGTATAAACAAATTG